GGAGGAAATTTGCCCCAAAGAGGCAAAACAGCACATTGTACATTGACTTACCAATATGCAATGGCTGCTATCGGCAAATCAGTCAAAAGAAATCCTATATAAAAGGAACCACTAGTACAGAAATAAGTTAGGACATCACCACTGTTTCCCATCTCTTACATCTTCAATTTCTGAAAAACCAATGAATATCCAGTGTTGACTTTTCATCCTTATCCCCTCAAAATCTAGAAAGATCATTGTATTTAGCAATTACCCAAAGATAACTACAAGTAATAAATGAAACCCATATTAAACAACCCAAACAACTACAATTCACAAGGCGAGGGCAGGAGGCACAGATCAAATCGTATATCAATACATAAGCAATTCTAGTTAATAACCCTGTGCACACATTCTCATTACAATGTGTTGGAACACCTGATCCACAGAAGGAGATTCACTGCTACAAACACCAAAGAGGGAACCTCCCAGACACCTTTTTAGATCAGGCAGATAAAAAGTATCATTAACCAAATCAAGACATTCAAAGATGTCAAATCAAGGAGTTTACAACCTGAAACCCGTCACCCAATACATTTGCAATAAAAATTTGAAATACGAACCAGTTCATGATATGGCCACTAGCGCCATGGATATGGCAGCATATAACATGCACCTAAACCACCAGTATAACTACACCCAGTGTACAAACTGCTGAGAAATCCACAACACTAAAACAAACCAAATTAACCTCAACAACCAGCCCGTTCAGCAGTCCTATGCAAATTAATTTCAGAAACCAGCCCACCCAGCATTCCTATGCAATTGAGCCTATTGGGAAAACAAAACCAATCAGTACATAGATTCTCCATCTACAATCTGCCTTGGATAAAAAAGAGTATCACATAATTAATAAAGAGCCACACTAGACCAGCTAACAATAAAGATGGTCCAAAGTAGGATCCAGATGGTTCAAACCACAGTATCAGACACCAAACATCAAATGGCCCCATGTGCACCTCTAATTATGACAGCAAATCTCCATGGGACCTAAGGAAAACAATCAATGTAGACTGAGACTTCACAATCAACATAAATACAATTAGAAACAAACAGCAAAAATGAAATCAATAAACCAGTTCGGAGGGGCCATTCTGAAAAATGCAGAGCAATCCTTCATCACAAGGACACCGAACAATCTCAACTGCCAAAACTCAGCAGCTTCAAGGGTTATGACGGCAAAAAAACCAATGATAGGCATCCACTGCGTTTGAAAGATCAAATGGATCCTCTGAAGTGCAGAAACACAAATAGAAAGGCAAATAATGAACAGAAGAGCCCAGACACTAGAAAACAAGATGCCAATAAGCAAAGAAACAGCACAGCGTACCGCAAAGTTCATGACCAAAAAAACATACCAGCATGCTGCAGAGGAGTGGACCAAAATACATGCTACCTCAGGCAAATCCATAAAAGAAAATCCCATAAAGGCAACTGCCAATACATAAATAAGAGGAATAATGGACAACATCACCGTATCCCTTCGCTTGGCATCTCCAATTTTTAAGAAACCAATACATTCTGGGTGACTTAACATCCTTAACCCATCACAACTATCTAGAGAACGAACAGCATGAACAATTACCATAAGGTAATTAAAAGAAAGTGCAAAACCAACCGTTACAAAAAAACATAGACAACTACAATTGACATAAGCCAGGGCAAGAAGGGACAGAGAAAACCATATAATGCTTTGTAATCAATTCTCAGTTTGTAACGCTGTGCACCCATTACCATTCAATGTGTGTCTGCCCCCGATCCATCAGTAACAGGTCAATGTCAGAAAGGCCATAGAAGGAACTGCCCATGGACACAGCATAGACCAAACAAAAAGCTGATATACATGTATAATCTACCAAATCAAGATATCAAGAGATACCAAGGAATTTACATGACTTACAGCCATTCACCAGAGCTCTCTAAATGGCACCACAATGTTATGGCCATTGGACATTCCATTCGCCCCACATTGTTATGGCCTTTGGACATTCCATTTGCACCACCTCAAACCGTCCACATGTTCCATTTGAAAGGCATATAAAAACCTAATGCTTCAGACAAGGTGCAACAGATCACCAGATAAAATTGAAATAAAAACAGAAATACAAACCAGTTCACAATGTGGTTGCTTGCCCATGGATGCAGCTGCTTCAAACAGGGCACCTAAACCACCAAAATAACTACAGCCAGTGTATAAACTGCTAAGACATATAAACTGCTGAGACGTCAAAAACACTTCAACATGATTAAACCAAACCAAATAAGCCTCAACAACCAGCCCATCAGCACTCGTATGAATCTTGCCTATTGGGCAACTATAAACAGTCAATATAAATCATTATTAGCCCCTCCATCAACTGAGACTCCTTCACAATAAACACAAAGACATTTATAAAATGACAATAAAATTGATATGAATGAACCTAAGCTGAATCAACCCCACATGAGGAGTACAAAGATGTGCCTCAACATGCTACATCTTTTAATTTACTACATAATAGAAGACGAGCATCTCATGATACAAATACAACTCATGAAGAGTTTATCACTGAAACTTTTTTAGTATTAAAATAGACTCAAAATTTGAAAATAGTGCTCAGTTCCATCCCTAAATCACACCATTTAGTGAGTTTTTGATGTAGTGACATTCACGTCATAATACAGTTTTCACGACAGAAAATCAGATTGCGCACCTCTCAATAAAACAATTATTTCTCACAATCCTCATAGAATTTCTTCCTAAAACCTTTTCTGTTGAAAACTAGACTCAACCACATAATAAAATCATGGTGTGAATCCGAAATAATACTTTTCTTCAGAGAAATAAATAAGTGGCATTCACGTCAAAAAATATATCATACTGTAGAATTCCACGATGAACACTATCTAGTAAAACTGCCTTTTCTCTCTACCCACAAAGATTTTCCTATTCAAACCCTTTTGGTTTGAAAGTAGACACCAAAAAGGCAACAAATATCTTTCTGCAAGCCTCATATCATTCTGTTAAGTGAGCTTGATTGATATAGCTATTCACATTTCAATGAAAACACAGCAAACTACAAAAATTCAAGATGACCTCTCTTCAATGAAAATTTCTATTCCTTATTTTCCATGGATATTTCTCTCTCAAATCATTTTTATTAGAAACTATACTCAAAATGGTAGTCTAGAAACTTAATGCGGATTTTAAAACATTTTGTTAAGAATGGAAATAAAATCATGACTTCAAGTTATTAAAACAGTTTTCGTTACAGAAAACAACACTTGCGCACCATTCAATAAAATGATCGTATCTTTCAAACCACAAGGATTTTCTTCATGAAACTATTTTTGTTTGAACGTAAACTCAATTTGATGAATTATAATCAAATTTCATCTTAAAAATAAAATCATATGATTGGTGAAAAAATTCATGAAACTCAATGGACAGTTCTTAGATTTTGCAGGCTTAAAACTGACACATTTCATGAGTCCATAACACTCAATTCCCTTAAGATCTCCAACTGAAATTTTGTAAGTAGATCCTACTCTCACAAATACATAAAATCACTGAAGTATGCATCAAAGAAATACCTCATTATCTTCTTCATTTCACTACTTCAAAACAGCACAAAATACCCACTCACAATGTCCAATTATAAATAAATAACTCTTGAAACAAATAAATAAAAAAAGAAAAACACGATTTTCACTTGCTACCACTATTGAATTCAATTCCTTAAATCAAAACATCGATTCATTGCATTATGGAAATAAAAGAGCTCAACACAAAAATAAATTTTAAAGAAGTAAAATTATTAGAGATTACCTCAACCAGGCTTAGTACACCCCGCACCGAGTCTCTTGTTGCTCGGGATCGATGATTGGTCTCTTGATTCTCCTACTTATGACAAAACCCTCTCAATGGTATATGGATCTCAATCTAAAACCAACTAACTAGGGCCTCAATGCCTTATTCTTACTCAAACATCTTTGCTTGATCTTTAGAGAGACGAGAGATAGAAATCAAAGAGAGAGATCTACTAGCTTTGTTTGGCCCCCTTTGCAACCCACCTAGCATGGGTTTGCTCCCTCTCCTTTACCAACTTCAGAGAGAAAGAGAGAGCTACTACTTAGGGCGTGCCCCCCTTCGAACCCGCCAAAAGAGAGAGAGAGGTAGATTTGGGGTGTGCCCCTTTTTTAACAATAGGGAGAGAGAGAGAGAGAGCGAACTTTTAGAGAGAGGAGAGAGAAGATGTTTAGAGAATTTGGTAATTGAGGAGAGTCCCTTTTTATAGATTTTTTATGCCTTAGGGTTTGCCATCTTCAACGAGATCAAATCTTGACCGTCAATCTAAGTCAAAAGGAGACTTGAGGGGTGAGAAATAAGAGTCATCCATTCCTTTGATCCACCATCAAGATTCAAACGAAGGTGCTACAACAGAAATTGGCCAAAATGTGATAACCACCTTTGGAACTGCTATGAAGACTAGCCTCACAATTCATTTCAAACAACCGCAAGCATGGGCGAGATGATTACATGTCCCGACAGCAAGAAGCAAAATAATACTACTCTAAAATAAACTGAATAAAGTCATGGATCTTTCAAACCATTAAAAATCCCCTAATAAAAAAAGTAATAACCACAAACTTGCAATGAGCTACAAAACCAGAAGTAACATATCCAAATCACAATGATGGCACTCAAAATAACATCAATTCGAATCCAAACCGATCAGCATATACAGAAAATAACACCCCCACTCACCCCCCCCCCCCTTTTCCTCTCCCCTCCCAAAAAAATCAAAATGAAATAAAAGCTTCCACATTCAATCTTGAGATGAGTACATGTAACCCATTGAACAAATTGGATTTTGGAAAAAAAAACCAAGCAAACTGATAAAACATGATCCATAGAACAAGCATCAGGACAAACACCATCTAGACAAAGAAATGTGTATCCATGGACTAGACATAAAGAATTGAAAGTGAACCACTATTGTAAGCAAACAACAAAGATAACGGGTATTGAGTTTAATACCCAAAAAAACATCTCCAAAAATTAAGTAGAAAGCAATAGAGATAAAAAAATCGCAACCAATTAGTCTGACATCTAGGCCCATCTCTTCATGTCCCATTAAGCAAATTCCCCTTGCATATGTGCGACTGAACATTTTGAGAAACAGAATGGGAGAACCCCATCTGATAAACACCAGACGACATCATTCTTCAAATCTATGACGCACCTACAACTAACAATAATGGTCACTCATCTACAAAAGTCCAAATTTAAATGGAAACAACAATGAAGAATGGAAACTGTAGTACAAGGTAGGTAGTAAGAAAGTTGCTTAAAATATAAACCCCCAACCTGAATGTGAGTATTCCACATGAATGTTTAGAGCCATTTTGCACAACTGCAAGTACCAAAGATATATCTCCAAATTATGACAAACTTGAAAACATACAGCCAAATTACATTGATAGAATTCAGCACGACTCCCAATACCACTTGAAATAGATCCCTATGGCGACAGCACAGATCTACAGACTCCACAAGTCCAGAACCAATCCAGTAAAAAAAACCTAGTTCCCATACCTCACCCGGAAATGATCCAACAAAAATGTTACTGATAAAATGCTGCAACACAAAGCTCACAAGAAATCCAAAAAACTCAAGGAACATCAAACAATACCATGTAAGAATCCATTCCTCCCTCCAATAAGAGCATCACATGAAACCTATGGGTACAAAATTTGAGCACAAAATGAGCCAGTACTCATGAAAAACAATACCAAACCAAAAAAAATCTAAAGAGGATTATCCTAACCAATAGAGTCCATGTCCAAAGCAGATTCATTTCCAGGTTGATATTGAACCCAAGAACTAACTTTTGTTGTAGGAGCATGGCAGCATCCATCAATTTTTCCATCATGAAATCATCCATGAGGACTCCCTATAATTAAGCATCCCAAAGAACACAGATAGTGATCATTAGAGCACCTAATATATATTACCAAGTTTGAAAAGGGGCAATTGTTTCCCCAAGTAATTGTTTTCCCAAAACACTACGACCATTTGTAACTCCATGATTTCCAATAAGCAACTGAACATGTTGCCTATCATCAGAAGTAACGCCACACCTAGTGCTTCAACTCATCGAATCTTCTGCACGTGCAGAAGAGATAATCCAATGACCAAATTCAATAATACTCCATAAAATATACCGGTTAAAATATTAAAAGAAATAACGCCCTTCTAATTTACTTTGTTCCCCTAAAAGATTTGAAAAAATTGCAAACCTTATCACTACCATCTCAAGATAGCCAGCTTCGATCAGCATCAAATTGACGTAATAATCTTGAATATCTACAAAAAACATATTATTGCATCTCAAACACCACGCTGAGGCAAACTGGACAGAAGTAATCCAATAGCTTATGTGGGCCAACATTAGCTTTAGGCATCGATGTCACAAAAGCAACATCGCCTAGAAAAAGAGTACTATAATCAAACCTCATTCCTCGAAAATCAGGTCACAATGATAGCTCAATAACCAAACAACAGAGGAAACCATAGAGAAATTTGATCTTGAACAAAGGAAGCCCTCATCAACAAATTCACAAAATAACATCACCCAAAGGAGCATCCTAAAAGAGCCTAGAAATAAAAAATACAAAAGAAACCCTAAAACCACAAAAAAGTAACCACTAGGCCGCAAAACCGGACTCACTCCCTAAACCATATTGATAACCTAAAAAGACTCAAAAAATTGTGAAACACGAAAATGTCTCTGAAACACAAAATAGAACCATCACTCCCTTAAACCATAATGATAACCTAAAAAGACTCAAAAAATTGTGAAATTCAATTGTCACATAGAGCCCATGAATACATAAAGAGATTTTTATAGAACAGAGTACAATCAAAAAACCAAAACAAATCAAAACGCCACAGCAAAACAATTGGAATTATAAAAAAATTCCAGTATTATAATCAAGAAACGTCAAAAATCTGGAAGAAGTGATTTGCCAAGAAGCATCGCCGCCGAAATCCAAAAATAAATAAAAAAAATACGAAAACCCTAAAACCACACAAAGGTAACCACAAGACCGCAAAAACCCATTAGTCAGAATGAGAGCATAATGAAACTAGAACCATGAAGCATCATATAAGGCACAAAACCCATGTGAAACCAAAAATAAACAGGCATAAAAATCAGAGCCAAAACAATCAAACACTGAAAAACCATATAAACTCGACTTCAATTAAGAACCAAGGCCATCATAATAAAAACAACCAGAGCATAATGAAACTAGAACCATGAAGCATCATATAAGGCACAAAACCCATGTGAAACCAAAAATAAACAGACATAAAAATCAGAAAGCCAAAACAATCAAATACTGAAAAACCATATAAAACTCGAATTCAATTAATAACCAAGGCCATCATAATAAAAACAACTATGTGTGGCAATAGAGATCATATCACAATTTCCTTGTGATATACATTTTCAAGAAATTTCAGAAGCATGAAATTGTTTTACTTGCACATGTGTACGGCGGGATGTATCAACCATGTTCGGTTATCAAGTGGCTCATTTTCGTAGGCAGATTTAGAATGAAATTAACAGAGAATGATGCTCGTCATGTAAGCAATATATCATAATGATGTTTATTGCATAAGCCATATAGTTCATTTCGTACAGCCTACTTGCTCTTGCTCCCTCCAGCAAAACCCATTTTAAGAGTGTCTTACAAGCGCCAAATTTTGAATAGGCAAAAATATAGATCATAACAGCCAATTTTTTTGGGGCAAGGGGTAGGAAAAAGAGCGGAAAAAAAAAATAAATAAGCGCTTGAAATGCAAAGAAAAAATCTCAAAATTGAACAAGATAACCCTAATTTTTTTATAAGACACGATATAATTGCTAAGACCTCAAAATTCCATTTCTTTTAAAGCAATGATCTTGGAATTTAAAAAAAGAAGTAATGCTTGCGGGTAATAATAATAAACCCCCATAGACGACAATAAATTTGACGCCCCATGTCACCCTCAGTTGGCTGCATCACAAAACGAAACATCTAAATTCCTACCAAAACAACAGGTGTCCAAATAAAATCGCTTTTTTTTTTTTTTTTTTTTGACAAAAGGAGTCAAAATAGAATCTAAATTACCGCTTTAATATGCAATTTTGTAGAGTAGACATCCGAAACTAATAAACGATATCATTCTTTTCAATAGAGGAATTCCAGATCTTAAATTACAAGACTCTACAATCACAACCCATCCAAATCGACAAAATTTCTACCGCAACCCCACAAATAATGCTATAATCCCGCAATTGGATGTATTTACAATGGGTGCAGTTTCTGCCTTAAACAATCCAATTAAGGCGCACCTGCAAATCTTATCGTAAGATATAATTTTGTTGTAAAACCTTTTTTAGAATTATCTTAAAAACTATTTCATATCTAGTTAACAAATTTTAAACTCAAAAAATGGTTAAAATAAAATAAATCTATAAACATATGATAATCTTGTAGATAGACGATCTAAATAATGTGTTGCAAGAAGTACTATTTTTAAAACTCAAAGAAAAAATTATAATAATATTCAAACATCTCGATGTCTAGAATATCAATTAGAGGGTTTTTCAACATTTAAACAACCGTTCTGATAGTTTTTTGAGGTGCATATGTTATTCCACATTTTAAGGTTGCAACCTTATATAGTTTTTTGATGTGCATTTGTGATTCCACATTTTAAGGTTGCAACCTCATATAAACTTTTCCGAAAATCATCCCCACTTAAATGGCATCTCCTTCTAATTCTTTACAAATACACTCAATTTTTCTGGAAACAAACATTCATAATTCCGACATAAATCACATACGGGTAAAATTTACAAAATATTTATTTACTTTTGATAAAAAAACATGAAAAAAAAAACACTAGTTTTTTATACAAGCTCACATTAACGACCATCAACTAGGAAGTTCAAATGTAGATCACATATCCAAAAGCTAAGAGTGACCATGTAACTCACACGGGGGATCAAATTTAAATTTTTTATGCACGCAGATGCATACCATTACCTCACCATCAAATATTTACATGTTCAATAATAAAAAATAAGAACTTCCAATACGACAAAGAAACATACATAAAGCCACACAGACGCACGACATTGAAATCCTATAGAAGTAAATTTGGGATGTCCCACAATGGCTTATCTAACGTCTACACCGACACCAACATACCCCCAAAAAAATTAAAAAAAAACCACCAACACCAGCATTTTCCTGAGATGGCACCAATGAAATCGAGCACAACTGTTGAACACAATGTCTTCCCACAGATTAACATTAACGGGATTCAGGTCAGATGTACATCAAATCGAACATTGCATCTTGCCAGCAACTCTCCCTCCCCAGTGTGCTCAACAATGGAGAATCCAGCAGCAACAAGCCACTGATGCAACAAAGAAAAGGCCAACAATCTTAAAACACAAACTAATGATTCATCACGTCCATATATCTTATTAAAATCGCAGAGCAATACATATTTCAGTCGTTCAATCATGAGAATGCAGAGAATAACCTCCCACACAAAGAAGAGCACGAACCAAGAAGGAACAACTGATTTAAACAAACACATGGGCCGATACCGACATGTATAAGAGTGTAACTAGGACAATATCAGTCTTGAAGCAAATAAAGACCAGATGTCAAGATCACTGAAGACTGGATATACAGTTGAACTTTTCAAAAGACTACAACAATCTTCTTCCAAACCTCTAACGGATACATTTCTGCATTCACAGATAATATCGGCACAAAAACCATCGAAGGACACAACTCCAAAATATTTTAAAACATAAATAACAAAAACATAAAACAAAGAGGCAAGGCAGGTAACTCTATTGTTCTTACACGACTATCACGAGCCATTATGCATCATTGCACAATGCATAATGGCAAGTAACTCTTGCTTTTTAAGTTATGATGCATATCCACATCGTAACTTAAAAAACAAAACAAATTAAACTGAGATCTTTTGTTTTTCTGGTGAATAATTAAACTGCGAATTCAGCTGCCTACCTAAACCACAAGAAATAAAACTTGCATAACTCCATAACCAATCCAGTCAAAACAGCTAACTCTTGTACTTGTCATGTTCAGCAATGATACAATAAAGAAGATATCACTGATAAAATAACTCAACACAACAGAAGAAATCCAAAAAACTCAAGGAACATCGAACAAATACCACGTACGCCTTCACTATTGCCTCCAATAATAGCATCACAAGGCACCTAATAGCACAACACTTTCAACAAGCCAATACCCTGAAAGCAAGTTAGGCGAATGCAAGCCTCCAAAAAAAATACAACCAATTATAATCTTATGACAGATATCCAAACCAAATGAGTCCATAAAGCAAACCAGATTCAAATCCAGGTAGATATCAAATGCAGGAACAACTTATGCCAGGAGCCCCAGAAACATCCAGCAAAGTTCCTCCCCTCATGAAATCATCGAAGAGGACTCCCAATAATTAAGCATCCCAAAAATTGCAGATAGTGATCATACGATTATACCACAGAATAGAAAAATGGCATCAAGATGAAGTAATTATTTTCCCAAAACACCACAAACCATCTGGGAATCCATGGCTTGACATAACACTTCAACATGTTGCTCTTCATTCATAGAGGATGAGTACCTCAACTAATCCAATGATGGCTCGACATAACACTCAAACAAAAGAACCCCTCTTTAACAACTTCACAAAACAACATCACACCTAGAGGAGAGTCAGAAAGTATCAACGAAATCCACCAAAACCAGTTAAACTGCAAGCAATCACCAAGAATCAATACCAGAGAAGAATCGGAGGGAGAAAACTGGAGTATTGGCAGACTCAATTAAATCATAAAAGAAGGTCCTAGCATAACGCGACAAGGGCCATCTCACAGATAGATGATTATCTTACAAAGATTAAATTAGCATAGACCTTTGAAGCCACTACTTAAGCACACTGAAATAATAACACAACCATCATCCTATAAACCACAAATGCTACCCAAAATGACAAAAAAAATTAAAGAGCGCATGAATATACGCACAAGAATGGAAGAAATTGAAGCAAAAAAATAGAGCATTACAAATCTGAGTCAGACCAATAAACCTAAAGAAATCAGAATACCCAAGAAAATCTCGTACTAGTAGTTTCTCTCACAAGAATGCATCTTTTGGTCCTGTTGTCTAACCCAAAAAAATCTCTAAGATTGTCTAATGCAATACATATCCTATTGAATCAATGCGAGGCAAATCAGATATTGAGCTTGCACCCACTCCCACTTGGGCCACAGAGGACCAGAACGAACTAGCTTGATCAATGGGAGAAACCTCAATATACAAGAAGAAGAGAAAGCCAAACCAAAAAGAAAGATCCTTAAAAATAATGACCACCAAAATACACAATAATTTGATCTACTGAGAAAAAATTGTTGGAAAAAAATTGGGGGCCTCTACATTACACACACAATCAGTTTCCCTATCAAAAATACGCCCCAATTAAAATCAAAAAACCATAAAAATAACAAATGGGGGCTTTCTGGCAATTGCAGCACCTAATACTGTCCTCATGTTCCAGTCATAGAGAAAAAAGAGAGGAGAAAGAAAAGAGAATGTGTTGAAGCCAAAGATGACAATCCAGCTATACAAACACAAATCTCAAGGCAACTAATAAAACATAGAATAAAGAGGAAAAGACCTGACAACGAAGAACCAAACACAACATATTGTCAAGACCGTAATAAGAGCAACATAATAGCATCCTATCTAGTGATGTACCAATATACAATGGCTCCTACAGGCAAATCAGCTAAAGAAAATCATGAATGAAAGGAAACACCAATAAAAAAAGTAAATGTGAATGAACACGATCACCAAATCGCTTCTCTTCCACCTCCGATCTCTGAAAAACCAATAAATGCATTTCTCAGTTGACTTATCCTCATTCCATCTCAAACCAAAAGGTGACTAAAGAAAAATATAGATCAAACTAACACTGAGTAACTCAGACAACTGCAATTCACATAGGTCAGGGCAAGACGCACAGATCAAACCATCTTTCACTTTGCAACTAGTTCTCAATTAATAACCCAGTCCAGCCATCCCCATTCCATGTGTGTTGGCACACCTTGTCCAACACCAGAGAGTCACTGTTACAAAGATGGAACAACCCAGACACCTCGTAGATCAGGCAGAAAGCCAATATAGAAATCCCCTTAGAGAGGGGCAAAATGGTCTTTTTGACCATCCAAATGTTAAGGAAACTGTTTGGAAGGGGGGGTATTAGGGGGCCCTAAACGAAGATTTTCCGTCACTTTTGTGGCTTTTTTTTGCATCAAATCGAGAAAAAAAATATTTAGGCGGAATTTTTTATCATCGAAATCCTCGATTTGGCGGTTGTTTGATACTTGGATGTCCATTAGATGACATTGATTGTTGATTTGGAGATGTTAGGATTAATTTGTGATAAAAAATCGAGGGTTTCAGAAGTCGTAAAGAAATCGAGCAGTACTTCAAAAAATCGGTAAATTTTTTTTCCTTCTTGTACAATATTACTATTATACATATTTTTGCGGCAATGTCTTCTTCCCAATCTTCTAGTAATAAGGATCCGGCTTGGAAATATGCTAAACTAAAAAGTCCCAAAGATAGAAATTGTGTGATATGCTTGCTCTGTGGAAGTCTTATATGGGTGTATAACTAACTGGATACAAAATCTCCAACTAATAGTTTTGAAGTTAATCATTAAACTAAAATACCTACTATCACATATATCACCTTCATATTTTTTTCTATCCATTAACTTATTTTTTAAAAAACTTAGAATTTTTTAAAAAAATTTAAAATTTTTTAAAAAAATTTAAAATTTTGTTACATTTATTGACCGCATCATCGCGATGCACCCGCATCCGGGCCGCATCGAGCCGCATCGGCCCCCCACCGCATCAGGGCCGCATCCTGCATTTTAAAACACTGACAGCAACCGTATACAATGGATCCCATTGGGCAAACAACCAATTGATATATAGCTCCCCCACCTACAGAATCACCGAGACACAAGCGTATAATCATATAATTAACAAAGATCAACTTTGGGCTAGACAACAAGAAAGAAGGTCCAAAGTTGGGCCCAAATAAATCAAACCACACTGCTAGACAACAAACTCGAAACAGTCCAATGTGTTCCCCACCGATTACAAGGGCAAATCATCATGGCACCTAAGGAGAACAATCAATACAAATCAAGATTTAACAATCAACATATAATCATTTACAACCAATGAGCAAAAAGTATATCACCGTACAAAACTGTAAAGAACGGACAACATCACCATATCCCTTCTCTTCCACCTCCGTCCTCTGAAAATCCAATAAATAAAGATCTCAGGTAAAGTTTCATGCTCATTCCATCTGAAACCAAAAGGTCGATAGAAGAATCTATCCAACACTACAGGTCGCTAGAAAAATCAATCCAACACTAAACAACTAAGACAATTGTAAGTCAAATAGGTCAGGGGAAGACGCAAATCAAACAAAATTTTGCACCCAGATCTCAATTAATAACCATGTGCACACGACCCCATTCCATTTGTCCAAAAGAGCCACTATTACAGACACCAAAGATGGAACTACCTACACACCTCATAGATCAAGCAGAAAGCCAATATAGAGTGTATCATCCATGATATTGACATCCAAAGATATCAAGGATAACTTACACCCATTCAACAGAGCTCCATAAATGGCACACATGTTTCTGATATTTGAATGTTCTTGGCACTCTCGCCACCTCATACTGTCCACATATCTTCCAGCAAGAAAGTATATAGAATAGAAACCTACCTGCCAGCCACCCAACAAAATGCTTCAAGAAACTCAAATACAAATCAGCTAAAAAAATGGTTGCTAGCAACACGATGCAGCCAAACCCCTAACATAACAACAGACATCGTATATACATCTGAGAGATCCATAACACTTACCAAATAGAGCCCACCCAGCTGCCGTATGCCATGGAGCCCATTAAGCAAACGACTAATCGATATATAGCTCCCCCACCTACAGCATCGCCAAGCCGCAAGAGTATCATCATACAATTAACAGAGAGCAGCTCTAGGCTTGCCAACAAGAAAGGTTCAAAATTGAATCCAGATAAATCAAACCACACTGCTAGACAACAAAATCGAAACGGCCCCATGTGTGGCACCATCTGCAAGGACCAATCACCATGGCACCTAAGGAGAATAGTCATTGCAAACTAAGACTTCACAATCACAAATAAAAAAAAACAGATAACAAAATGTGTTGAAGCTAAAGATGATAATCAAACTATACAAACACAAATCTCAATGAAAACAAAATAAACATAGAATAAATAGGTAATGCCCAGATACCAAAGTAACAAACAAAACATAGTGTCAAGAGCTTATTTTAAGAGAGAGAATAGCATCGAGTATAGTAAGGGACCAATATACAACAGCTCCTACAGGAGCCCAACTAAAGAAATCCTGAATTAAAGGAACCACCAATAAAAAAGTAGAGTGAATGAACAACACCACCAAATCTCCTTTATTCCACACCTCCAATATCTGAAAAACCAAAAAATGCATATCTCAATTGACTTTTGATCCTCTTTCCATCTCAAACCAAACTGTAACTAAAAGAACGTATAAATCAAACCAACACTAAACTCTGAAAACTACAATTCACATGAAAGGTCAGCACAAGAGGCACAGATCAAACCATCCTCAACATTGCAACCAGTTCTCAATTAACAACCCAATGAACCCGTCCCCATGTATTGGCGCTCCTGGTCCACCACTGGAGATTTCACTGTTACAGACTCCAAAGATGGAGCTACCCAGACACCTCGTAGATCAGGCAGAAAACCAATACAGACTGTATCATCAATGAAATTGACATCCAAAGAGATCAAGGATAACTTACGACCATTCATCAGAGCTCTATAAATGGTAAACGATGTTCCTGGCACTCCCGTCACCTCAAACAGTCCGCACAAACAGTCTGCATGTTCCAGTCAGAAAGCATATAGAAACCCAACTGCCAGTCATCCAGCAAAATAACTAAAATACAGATCAACTACCAATATGGTTGCTACCACCATGATGCAGATAAACCCCCAACATAGTAGCCAATGTATATACCTTTGAGAGATCCAAAACACTAAACTATAATTAAGTCATACTGAATAGAGCCCACACAACAGCAGTATGCAATGGATCCCATTGGGCAAACAATCAATTAATATATAGCTCCCCCACCTACAACATTGTCGGGACACAAACGTATAATCATAAAATTTAAAAATACAAATCAACTAACAATATGGTTGCTACCACCATGATGCAGCCTAAACCCCCAACATAGCAGCCAATGTATATACCTTTGAGAGGTCCAAAACACTAAACTATAATTAAATCATACTAAATAGAGCCCACACAGCAGCAATATGCAATGGATCCCATTGGGCAAACAATAAATTGATATATAGCTCCCCCACCTACAGCATTGTCAGGACACAAACGTATAGTCATATAATTTAAAAAGAGCAACTCTAGGCTAGACAACAAGAAAGAAGGTCCAAAGTTGGGTCCAAATAAATCAAACCACACTGCAGATAACAAACTCGAAACAGTCCAATGTGTACCACCGATTACAAGGCTAAATCATCAGCTTACCTAAGGAGAACAGTCAATGCAAATTAAGACTTCTGTATCAACATATAAACATTTACAAACAAAGAGGAAAAGTGTATAACTATACCAAACAGATTCCGCCCAAAGCCAAAGAAAATAATCTAACCATACAAATACAAATCTCAAGGAAAATAATAAACCTGGAATAAAGAGGCAAAGCCCAGATACTGAAGAAAAAAGCATAGCATATTGTCAAAAGCTTATTAAAAGTGAATAATATAATCTTAAATAGTTATGGACTGACATAAAATGGCTCCAACAGGCACATCAGCTAAAGAAAATCCTGCATAAAAGAAACCACCAATAAAAAAGAGTGATGCACGTCACCAAATCCCTCCTCTTCCACCTTCGATCTCTGAAAAACCAATAAATGCACATCTCATGAGACTTTTAGTCCTCATTCCATCTCAAACCAAATGGTGACTAAAAGAACGTAGAGATTAAAGGATCACTAAACAACTCAGACAACTGCAATTCAAATAGGTCAAGGTAAGAGGTACAAATCAAACCATCTATCACTTTGCAACTAGATCTCAATTAATAACCTTGTGCACCCGTCCCCATCCCATGTGTGTTGGCACTTCCTGGTCCACCACTAGAGAGTCACTGTTTTAGACACGAAAGATGGAACTACCAAGACACCTCATAGATCAGGCAGAAAGCCATTACAGAATGTATCATCAATGAAATTGACATCCAAAGATATAAAGCATAAACCCATTCACCAGAGCTCTGCAAATGGCACACTATGTTTCTAACATTTGAATGTTGTCGCCTCTTACTGTCCGCATCTTCCAGTCAGACAGAATATAGAAACCTAACTGCCAGCCATCCAACAAAATGCAACAGGAAACTGAAATACAAGTTAGCTCATAATATGGTTGCTAGCACCAGGGTGCACCCTAAACCCTGAACATAACAACAGCCAGTGTATATACATTATACATACCTATGAGAGATCCCAAACACTTTACTATAATCAAAACAAACCAAATAGAGCCCGACCAGCAGATGTATGCCATGGAGCCCATTGGACAAACAACCAATGCATATATAGCTCCCCCACCTACAGAACCGCCAGGACATAAGGGTATCATCATATAATTAACAAAGACCAATTCCAGGCTAGCCAACAAGAAAGAAGGTCCAAAGCTGAATCCAGATACATCAAGCCATACTGCTAGAGAACAAACTTAAAACGGTCCAATGTGTGCCACCGGCTACAGGGGCAGTCCAATATGTGCCACCGATCACAAGGGCAAATCACCATGGTACCTAAGAAGACTTCACAATCAAAGAGCAAACGTATATTACTATGCCAAATTGATTCTGCCCAAAATTCCCAAACAAATATGTCAACCAAATAACAAAAAGAACAGGAGAAAAGCAAAAACCCCAAAAGTGATGGAACAATTCAAACAGCCACCTAATAATATTGCATTTGTCTTCACCAAGAAATTATTTCAGGGAGAACAGTTGAACACAGCCCTGAGCATACAATATTTCAACAAATACTTCGCTACTATAATTTGAATGAAAGATCTCCTAAAAGAAAGTAAACCAAATGAGATATGATTGAGGTAATCACACCAATTTAGGCTCAAAATCCAACACTGACGAAAGTCAAAGAGGTAGTCGGCCAATTTTCTTCCATGATGGACTACCTACCATCATTCACCCCATAAAATGAAAGAAATCATTCTCATGCTATCATCATCACCGTATAACCAAATAAATGCCTCAAACTAGAACATGAACCCTATGTGAGGTAATAATGGCCCACTAAAAACAGCAAACTAATGGCCCACTAAAAACAAACTAATGGCCCACTAAAAACAAAGCATATTCAACAACAGAACCACTTCCCAAAGGTCATCAAGAAGAGTTTTGAACCCTATGTGAGGTAATAATCATAGGTGAATCCATGACTAGAGACCAGCAATTCAACATGTTGAAGACACCAGTCGCAACTAAACATCTGTGCCACAACTCATCCTATAAAAAAACGTTGCAAACACAAAAAACATCTATAGATCAAAATGAACAGCAAACTAATGGCCCGTTAAAAACAAAGCATATTCAATAAAAGAACCACTTCCCAAAGGTCATCAATTAGAGTTTTGAACCCTATGAGAGGTAATAATCGTAATCCATGACTAGAGACCAGCAATTCAACATGTTGAAGACATCAGCTGCAACTAAACATCTGTGCCTCAGCCCATCCGATAAAAAAACGCTGCAGACGCAGAAAACATCTATAGATCAAAATGAACAGCAAACTAATGGCCCATTAAAAATAAAGCATATTCAATAAAAGAACCACTTCCCAAAGGTCATCAACATCGAGTTCATAGCAAAAGCTACGAAAAACTCCAAACGTAGAGAGAACTGGAGACGTAAACAAGCAGCTTTAGAAGCAGATGGACCGATCTCCCAAAAATTAAGGGCATTATTTTGAGACCCATGAACTCGAATCACTTCCAATTTTGACAGACTACAACCCCAATAGCAAGCACTATAAGCCAAAAAACACAGTGAATCAAAGAGGATGTCATTGAGGAACACAAAGTCAAGATCCTACATAAAGAACTATCCAAGTTAACAAGTGGTGAGCACAGATTGTTGTTCAAATTTCAAAAGATTAATTCAATGAACACCCAGAACCACTACAAAAATATCTTCAGACTCAACCTTCATAGAATAATAACACTGTAATTGACCATTAGTACCATTTACTCTGCAAGCACCAATAAAAATAGCAAAGTCCAAATGGAAAAACTAAAATAACAACATGAAGCCCTTATTAGAATCAAAATCCTTAAAATGGACATCCTACTACAATACTACAAACACAACCCTATACATTCAAAAGTTTAGAACACAAAAACGTTTCTAGGAGAAGAATGGAGAATCTCTTTCAAGTATAAAGGATGAACAAAAAAAATACACAAAAAGGCTAAGAAAGAAAGACATAATACCCACGGTATTAAATATCAAAAAAATGAGAGGGCCCCCTAAGAAACTCTGTGATTTCAATTTCCAAGAAACTAAACTAACTCAAGAATCAGGAAGGATTGATCCTCCCTAAAAAATTAAGAAACCCAAAAAATTAATAGTTGAGAGATGCACCAAAAATAATTAAAAGCGAAAAACCCATCATTAGCAACATATTCAGAAATCCAGAGAGTGAAAAGACAGAGTAGCACAAATTAAAAATAAAAACTTAAATCCGCTAAATAATAAAAAAAAGCACAAAACAGAAAAGATTCAAAAATAAAACACACTAGTTAAAAAATATAAACCCCGACAAGACAATACAAATACATGAACCATAGAGGACTATAAGAGAACCTAGGAAAGGTCACTAAGGAACAAATAAAACCAAAAAATTCATAAGAAAAGAACCAAGAAGCAAAGAACATCACAAACAATTATTGGTTTTGAATAGTTGAACAAGAGAGATCCAAAATCCGGAATCGTTAGGACAATCATTGAACACCACATAAAACACCAGTTTCATTTCAGGACGATACAGAGCCATGGAAACAATGCGATGCAATTTGACAAACTACTTCTCATAGTATCAAAACAGCAAACTTCAGGCGATAAGGACATTCAGTCTCTATAGTTCCATACCATGCCACCAATTTAAAAATATTCAGGGATGGAGATAAATAGGAGGAAATTTGCCCCAAAGAAGAATACCCAACTGTAAAACCATAAATCAATAACAAGAAAAAGGAAAATGAAAGCTTTAGGCCATTTTAAAAGCTGCAAATTCAAAAAGAACATCTCCAAGTCACAATGGCAGAAATCAAAATAAAATCAGATAGAATCCATACTGATCACCACATAGACAAAATGACCCCCTTCCAATATGTGCTTTCTTTCCCAAGTGGACTATAAACACAATCAATTTGGAGTTTATATAACAAAATCAAGGAAAAAAATAAGAGGCGTCAAAGGAATAAAATATCAGGGCCAACACAACCCAGAAACAAGAACTTTGAAACAATCAATTAGCAAAAAAGGATGATAGGATCGCCATCGTACCTAGGCATAACAGACATGACAGAAGATGAGAGTTTACTACTAGATGCCTCCAGAAATTAAGACTAAGTATCAGACTAAAATAAAACCAAACCAATAGTATGGGGCCTGAGACCATCTCTTCCAGCTTCATGATCGAGTGGGTCACGCTGGTATGATTTGAGAAACAGACCATCCGATTGAACCAGAAAACAGATACCATTCTTCAAATCTTTAATGCACCTATAATCAAATACCCCAACAAATAACAATAATGGCCTCTCATCTCCGAAACTCCAAATTTAAACTTAACTAAAAATGCCAAATGGAAAGTGGAATATAAGGGAAGGTAACATAAAAGATGCCCCAAACTAGAGAAAACCCCAATTTAAGTTGTGATTGCAATCTGGCACAACTATCTTCAACTTAATTAAAAATGTCAAATGGAAAGTGGAATATAAGGGAAGGTAACATAAAAGATGCCCCAAACTAGAGAAAACCCCAATTTAAGTTGTGATTGCAATCTGGCACAACTATCTTCAACCATTCCGAAATGCCGCAAGTACCAAATGAAAAACCTAAACAAAAAGCACATAACTAAAAGTGAGAGAATACAGTAGATATCCCAAAATAACTACAATAAACCGCTATGGCTACAAGACAACTCCATAACCAATCCAGTCAAAATAGCTACTTCATATACTCGTCGAGATTAGTGCCAATGATCCAATAAATTATATGCAACTGATAAAAAATGGTTCAACATAGACCAGGAAGAAACCAGCAATCTCAAGAGGAACATCAAAATAGTACCACCCATGCCTGCATCATTGCCTCCATGAAAAGCACGTCACAACACCTAAGGGCACAAAATTTGTAACAATTGAGCCAATATTCATGAAAGCAAGCCTCTAAAAAACAATATCAAACCAAGTCAAATCGCACATCTGCTAAAATAGTGATCTGGCCCCAGGCAGTCCTAATTCAAACTGGCCTCAGCTTCTATATTCAGATAGAGTGGGATATGAGAAACCAACTTTTGTTGTAGATGCGCTGCAGCATTCAACCAGTTACCTTACCGAAATCAAGCAAAACGAATTACCAGACATCCCAAAAAGGCAGGCAGACACAACTTGGTCACCATACAAGTTAATACATGCCACCACAATTAAAAGAATTGGAACTTGTCTTCAAATTAAAATGGAAACCTGTTTTCCCAAAAACGTAACGACCATCTGTGAACCTAAGGCCAAATAGAGATAACTGTTTCCCCGAAGCCCGATCAACTGAGAATTCATCATGTGAGAAAATAATGGATTGAGATAAGCACTTCAACACATTTCCTATAATTGCAACAACCGGCCCTTCAACCCATCCACCGAGCTGCATATGCAGACAAGTCACAACAATTACTAAATAGAATAATACCATCTGAAATCAAACCGATCCAGCATACTAAAATAAATAACCCCCTAAGTGCAGAACATCACAACTTTCTCAAGATTGCCATTTTCCATCAGCATCAAGTTATGCAAATAACCCAGAGTATTACACTTGAATTCTTGAGTTCTGGACATCAAACCCAGCAAACTGAACAGAATTAACCCAATTACATAAGCCACCACCTCAAAATTCTTGAAATATGAAGAAAAGGAACCTCTCATCAACAATTTTACAAAACATCTCACCAAGAGGAGTCATAATATAACCTTCATAGCAAACCGCCAGCACCAATTAAACTGAAAGAAAGAATACCAGAGAAGAAACGAGGATGCTGCACAGAAGCACCAAAAAGCTTATGTTACAGAAAATCAATTATCTTACAGAGCTTGGATGAGCTTAGATCCTTCCAATGCACTTTCTGTAGGATCTCAAGTAAATCTGAAACAAAAACTGAACCATCACTCTATAAACCCCCATGTTACCCTAAAAAGACTCCAAGGATCACATGGAACAGGCAAACTCTAAAATAGAAAGAGGGCCAGATATTGCTGCATAAAAAGAATAATCTTCATAAAACACAGTAAACAAAAAAGAAACCAAAACAAACAAGAAATTACAATTCCCTAGAAATAAAAAATAAAATAAAATAAAAGACCGAAAGTAAAATAAAGAAAAGCCGGAATAACAAGAACTGATTGGATGCGAACACAGATATCAAAACCACCTCCGAAATCCTAAAACCATATCAAAATATATATAAACCCTAAACCAATAATAAATTTGAAACCCTAAACCAATAATAAATTCGAAACCCTAAACCAAGAAAAAACCCTAAAATAAAAGACAGAGACCCGAAAACATCAAAACCCAACCGACGCAACGAAATAAATGAGATTGTCGCCCTATTTACAGACAGCAGGGCAGGCTGTGGACGCTACGAATTAGCGGTTCTATAAAATAAACGGTGGATAAAGGGCCAGAATCAAATGCCGTTAGCCAAATCGATGGACATCTCCTCTTATTACATATGGAGGCGTTATGGCCACGCAATGTCTGTCGGTGGAAGCTTCTGGATTCTCTCCACGTGGTCGGCCACGATAAGAGTTGGGGGTGCTCTTTCTTTTTTCTTTTCTTTTTTTGTAAAGAATCACTCACATATGCACCTCAAATGTCCGTTAGGAGAAGGTTATTTAAATGTTGAAAAACCCTCTCATTTATCATCTCGACAGACATCATGATGTATGAATATAAAAAAATAATGATTTTAAGTCCAATAATGTATCTTGCAATATTTTTTATGAAGAGTTCATTTGTATGAATATGAAAAAATAAATATTTTGAGTTAAAAAAAATAGTGCATCTTGGAATATATTTTAAAAAAAATTACAAAAACCCCCTCACGCATATGTCTATACAACTTGCCCCAGTTAACTTTTTCTCTCATTTTCTTCCTACAACTATCTTTCCTCGTAACAACCTCACCCAAATAAAAAAAAACTAAACTACCCCTCTCTCTCCTCATGGCTTTTACCTACAACTCTCTCCCCGTGGGCTCCAGCAACCCATTTAAACGCTCTGACAATAAAGACACGCGCTCCGGCAATGCAAGTACTCACTTCGGCAGTACACCTTTTGGAGCCATAGCCCTCCAGCAATTAGGACATGCTCCGGCAGTACAAAGACGCGCTCGGGTAGCATACCTTCTAGTGCCACATCCCTCCAGTGGTTGAATAGGTCCTTTCGGCAATAAAGACAAACGCTCTAGCAGTACAAATACGTGCTCCGACAGTACACCTTCTAGAGCCACATCACTCCGACGGTTGAATTGGTCGCTCTGGCAATACACTGCTTGGGACTGTCAAGTGACTTTTTTTTCTTTCGTTTTTTTTGTAGGGAAGGGAGGCATTTCCGTTCAAAAAATAATAACTTTTTACCTTGGGAAGTTTTTGAGAGAAAAGGTGATTGTGGGGAAAAAAGTGAGAGGAAAAGTTAGTTGGGGTAAGTTGCATAGATACTATACTTGAGGGGGTTTTTGTAATTTTCCCTATATTTCATGGATAGTTTATTTTCAAGATTTTTATATGTTTATAAATCTACTTAGATTTTAACTCTTTATAGAGTTTAAAATTTTATAATTAGTTATGAAAATAGATTTTAAGATAATCCTAAACAAATTTAGCATTAAGAATACATGATAAATTTTGGAGGTCCGCTTTAATTGGATAGTTTAAGGTTTAGGGTTTTCAAACTTCTATAACATCAAAACTCCAATTAATGAGATAAAGAGAGAGTGTGTCATGAAAATAAAAAGGGACCATATTTCTATTAATGTTTAGGGTTTTCTAACTTCTATAATATCAAAACTCTAACTAATAAGATAAAGAGATAGAGAGAGAGAGAGTGGGGCGTGAATACATTGAGAGAGGTTATCATGTTTGGATGGTGAAACAAAAAGTAATCATGAATGGATGGGGAACCCTCTTAGATATGGATGCAATCTTAGATATGTATGCATAGCTTTCTCTATCTTGAATTTGAGTTGGGGATAGGTATATGCATATTTGTAGTTTCTATTTAGAGAAATATACATAGTATATCAATAAAATCAATCATTATCTAAACTTACTACATGATATATGTATAGGAAGAGAGAGTTATGCACGGACCTTAAGATAGAGGTGGGAGATATAGATAACAAAAATTAAGGAGTAGGGAGAGAAAATTAAATGAGGGAGAGAGTGGATGAAAGAGAGAGAACCGTTGATAAACGTGGACATTTATAGTTTCTCTCTACATAGGGAGAGAAACTCTCAAATTATGTAATAGAATTATTAACACGAATGTTCATTGCTGATTGGTGTAGGTATCTCAACCCTATCTCTCTTTGCTAAAGGTACGTTGGTATCTCAAATATTGAGTTAGGTATATTTGACTTACATATTTTCTTGCAATTTTTCTATTACTCTATCTAAGGATTTTATCATTTTTATTCTATATATTATTCTCTTTGTTGTTTTTATATCAATCTCTCTGTATCTTTCTCTATTTACAATTTTTATCTATTATTGTGTTTTTTTTTTTTTCACTCTTTGAGATTCATTATGCTTGATTTTATTATCTCACTTTGGCTATCTCTCTCTTTGCTACAGGTACGTTGGTATCTCAATATCGAGTTAAGCATATTTGAGTTTTATATATTTTTATATTTTTTATTTTACTCTCTTTAAGGATTTTATCATTTTTATTCTATGTACATTTCTCTTTGTTGTTTTTATGTCGATCTCTCTATATCTTTCTCTATTTACAATTTTTCTTTTATTTTTGTATATCTTTTTCTATTTCATTATTTGTGATTCATTATGCTTGACTTTATTTTCTCACTTTGACTCTCTCTATTTGCTACACATACGTTGGTATCTAAATATCGAGTTAGGTATGTTTAAGTTGTATATTCTCTTATATTTTTTCTTTTACTCTCTTTAAAGATTTTATCACTTTTGTTCTATGTACTTTTCTCTTTGTTCTATGTACTTTTCTCTTTGTTCTTTTGATGTCTCTCTCTCTGTATCTTTATCTATTTACAACTTTTTCTATTTCTGTATATATTTTTCTATTTCATTCTCTTTATGATTTATTCTACTTGACTTTATTTTCTCACTTTGGTTACTGCTTCGGGGTTATTGTGTTTCATGGTTGGTTATTTTACTACTTCACTTTTTATATATTTTTAGTTTGATTGTTTTTTCATTTTCTGTTGGGTTTTTTATTTTAAGCAAAATAACGTGATAAGTGGAGTGTAGCAATTCCTCTCTATTTCTACATCGCACTTAATTTAGTTTATATCACGTTTTATTTTTATTTTTTATTATTTTTCTTTTGCTTTATTATGCATTTTTTCTAGTTCAGTGTTTTATTTTTGCATAAAATGCTGTGAAAACTAAACTAATCTCTCTCTCTCTCCTATACTTGATATATTAATATTTAGTTAGATATGTTTGAGGTAAGTGGTATTGTCTTTATGTGTATAAGGTGAGAGACAAGAGATGGAGACATATAGTATTTAGTTAGATATGTTTAAGATAAGTGCTATTGTCTTTATGTGTATAAGGTGAAAGATAAGAAATGGAGAGATAAAAAGAGCACATAGACATAGAGAGATACTACTTGTAAACCTATCTTTCTCTAGCTTTGCTTTCTATTATGGGATTGAGGGATACAAATATTTTTATATTCAATTAGTTCCCTATTATAAAAGTATATTTAATATTCTATATCTAATTATTGTGTTAAAATCTGATAGTCTTTAATTGTAGTTATTAATTACATGTAATTATTGTAGCTCTCTCTCACACACACACACAAAAGATAGAGAATAGTCGTTTTATGCGGTTTGATGTTCTTGCAAATTTTGTACATAAAAATTGATAAGCAACTCAACTGTAGTTAGGATTTTGTGTGGCCTATAGAGACCTCTTTTACTCGAAGGATCATTCTTGGATCTAAGGTCACATCTCAAAACTTAGGATTCATGTTCTTCTTCTTTCGATATTTTACTATATAATGAGCCATGTAGAGAGAGGAGTATTTAATTGTATCATGAGGGATGTAAAGAGAGATGAGAGAGAGAGGGGGGGAGAGATGATGGTAACAATTGTTGGGCTTATGTGGCCTTTAAAGTAGTTATGATAGCTTGTATGAGCATTTTATATAATGAAACATAAACTCAGTGGGAGTGTGGTCCTTTTGTGGACCATACTAGGCAAATATTATTTGCTGATACTCGGACTAGGCTCGACGAGCTAAGCCAGCTGAGGTTTGAAAAAACCCAAGATACTTGGGCATAGGGATCTACCGATAAGAGTTTAGTGGGTTGTCCCTTGATGAAGTCGAAGTATGCCTAGATGAGAGCTAAGGGACTGTGTGACCCTTGCGTGTGATGAATAGCCTTTAGAGATAGGGCTAAAACCTCATCGTTATATCATCACACGGTATGTACATAGATAGCCATTTTGATATTCACCAATGAGGCTGAAGAGTGTATATATGCGAGAGATTACCCTTATGCACCATAGAGTAAATGGTTGCATCATGGTCTGAAAGACCATGATTTTTGTCTCTAGGGGAGAACCTGAAATCCATAAACTGGGATTGTGTCTCTTAGTAAACTGACTTTGGTGGTCCAATCATGAGCCCTTGCAGTGGACTGTGGGTCATGGGAACTGTTGGTTCAGTTTGATAAAGCTGAGCAGATTGGGTCGTGGGAACTGTTGCGTCAGTTTGATAAAGCTAAGTAGATCGTGATTCGCAGTTAAAGGTGGAGTGCTCCCATGTATTGATAATTTCTTAGATCTAACAGATCTGATTCCCATCAAAAT